ATGTTCATGCCTGTAAAAATGGCTGGTTTCTGTTACAGAAATAAAATTATTATTATTATTATTATTATAATGGGCGTTTGGTAACAACATTATTCCTCGACGCTAGTAAGGCCTTCGATAAAGTCCAACATAGCAGACTTCTAACAAAACTCCAAGCCTTCGGAATAACCGGAAAACTTCTCAAATGGATAAATTCTTTTCTCACAGAAAGAGAGCAATTAGTCAAAATCAACCACCAGCTGTCTTCATCAAAGCCGATAATTAGTGGCGTAATACAGGGTAGCGTTCTTGGTCCTATTTTAATGCTCTTATAAATGACATAGTCTCTGTGATCAAGTATGGCAAGCCATGCCTCTTTGCAGATGATCTCAAGATTGTATATGATTATGGGCACCATGATGTGAGCGTCGAAAGCAAGATCCGATATGACTTAAACGATCCAGGCGATTGGAGCGAAAAGTGGCAACTGGCTTTCAACCCAGACAAGTGCGGTATAACCCACCTTGGACTCTGGGGACCGAAAATGTGCCTATATATGTGCGGTAAGCTTCTCTCAAAACTGAACACAGTCACAGATCTCGGGATAACATACTCAGATTCGTCCTTTCCCGATCATGCAAATAAGGTTGTGTCTGACTGTAAACGACTTGCTGGCTTTGTACTGCATAACTTCTGCACCCAAAAAACAAGATTAGTTATATATAGGACATGTATCCGCCCCAAACTTGAATACTGTGCTCTCCTATTTACAAACCTCAGGTCTGCAGACAGAAAAAAATCGAAAGTGTCCAGAGATTTCTCGCGAAACGCATAATAGGGTTTGACCAACGAGTGGAATATGTTGACAGATGTATATGTCTGAAATTAGAACCTCTGTGGTTAAGGAGAGTGAAGTGCAACTTATTTCTGCTCTTCAAAGTCATCAGGAAACATTGTTACAGTAGCTCATCCAAATCAGCCGCGAAACCACGACTACCTTGTCAAGGTGGCTACCCACAGAAAATCCATTAGGGAAAATTTTTTCTCCATTAAATATTGCACTATTTGGAACCAACTACCATCTGAAATTAGATGTTGTGAAAACCCCGTCTAAAAGACCACAGCTGTTGGTAGAACGGAAATTGAAAGACAGTACAGTCACATACGTATAACTCGACTCTATTACTAACGCAGCGAACGCCTAACTAATTTACTGATTTTATATTCTCTATAATCTTCACTAAGTTGTGTTGGTATAAGTAACTCCGGAAATAATTATATTAGCAACCACACCTTTCAATATTTTACAAGATTTACAATAACAAACTCAGCCAACCAACCACTTTCCTCAAGTTCATTCAACCTGCCCTTATCCATAATCGTACCACTATTTACTACACTCTACTCAGTAGATTATGACTTAATTTGCTCCACTACTCAAAACTCCTCTACCTTTTAATTTTAAAGACATTTTAACTACTAACTGCGCAGTAACCGTTTAACTAACTCACTGATTTTCTCTTCACTGTAATCTCCAATAAGTTCGTCAGTATAATTATTTCCAAAATCAACTACACAAGCAACCATACCTTTTAATATTTTACATATATACTTATATTACTAGTGTAATACACTGTACTATTTCTGAGTAGAAATTACTATCTTTAGTCAGCAGTTACCCATTTTCATATAATTTTCTAAAATTCATAATGTTAAGGCTATGTAATATTTTTTCCATAATATAGTTGATGAGTCACTTTGCAATGTGTAACGCACAACATATAAAATCGGTCGCCAAAATTTAGCATAACAAGTTTTGCTAACCAACTGCTTTTCTCAAGACCACTTTACATAGCTTTATCACTAATTGTTCCACTACTCATATCACTCTGACAAATAGAATATAACTTAATTGCTCTAATATTAGCTATTTTTATACTTCATAACTATTAAGGGTAACTTAATTTCTTAGTCTTTTGTAGTAAACCACTTGTTCCCTAGTATGATGATAGTACTGCTAAGAATGTCCTCTGGTATTACTGTGCCCTGTGACCCAATGGGAAGCACTTGTCATGAAAGCTGTTAATGTGCAGCATACTGTGAGATTGGGACGAGGTCAAAGCAATGCAATTTTACAGCTGCAGTCGTTGTAAAAGGACTCAGAGCTTAATGTCGAAAAAGGAGGGAGGGTAGCGCATGCTGATTAGCAGATTTGGTAGTGGTCACAAATGTGAATCGCTTCGATCCGTAGGACAGCAACATGCATTATTTTGGCAGCTCGAGAATTAAACTTGAGTTTAGATCCTCAATATAAAGAAAAAATTAATCATAAAAAATTAAAAAACTAAAACAATAATGACAGCACAGATCTAAATTATAAAAAAGTAATGCTTTTGCTCGTAACATCTACAAGCCTGCTCAGTTTATTGTCAAGATATTACCCCATGGGCCATACACGAGCTCGCCAGACATCTTACAGGTCACCACATCAAACAGATTCTAATCCTCCAAGCCACTTCTCTCTGAAATGTCACTTATATACTCCACGACAATCCTTCTATCTAATTGCTATCATACTCTATTTTATTTCAACTTCCTAGGCCTTTAATAAAGCTGAAGTTTACTTTATTCTCATTCACACTCTTCTCTCGCATAAAGTTCGGTCGCTCTGATGATGATGAAAAAACATAACAACAACACTCACGTTTAAGGATAACTAAATTTTCATAGAAAACGCCATAGTTTTCCATGGTAAGACAAATATGGTTAGCATCATACATTGCAAATGTGTACTATCATTTCAAGTACTGTATAGTTTATTCTTGTAAATATACTTTCAATAATGTATCATTCATGGTTGCATTTTATACCATTTAGCAGCTGCGCAGGATTTTCTCATCTTCCTGAAATAGCGTTCTAGCACATAGCGCTCACTCAAATATATGTTGTTTATCGATGGGCCATTACTATCATCAGGAAATGGGACAAAGTTTGGGTTGTCGCTCAGTTTTGATGGAGACCTTCGTGAAAGATTTACAAACTAACAATTATAAGAATCTGTTCCGATTGCTTGCACTACAATTTAACAACTTGAATCTTTGAAAAAGTGATAGTGTCTGCTAATTCACGACTGTAATTCGTAACATAATTGATCGTGCCTGCAAAAATGGCATGCATTTCATGTAAACCTACCCGTTTATATGAAATATATATTATTATTAATACCGTTGTAAAATCCAGAAAATTGGTTTAACTTCATAAATACTGGCAGTATCTGTCTTGCTTCATTGTTCGACCGTGGCAACCTTGTCATTTTTGTACCAAGCACAATATAGTTGGTCATATGCTGGCAAGGGCCGTCCGTGTACACTATCTGTTCCGATGAATGTGTGGCTACACTATATCATATGACAGAAGTAGCATATGTTTTTGTTGCCACATTTCTAACTCATTAATATCTCTAGTGAATAACCGTGTATACCAAAACCACATGAAGATACGTTATCTGGAGGAAACTTTTGAAAACAATGCTGTGCCACAGATTGATTCGAAGATCCATAATAAAATGGCATGTGTTATGTCTAAAAGTACCAGAAGAAGCTTGGCGATCCACAATGCTGGAAAAGGGAACCTTTGAATTGCGTCTTGAATTGTTCGACCACGCAATCAGATTAATCAGACCGATTTTTGTGCACTCAACTTTCAATACTCCAGTAGGCTGGTGAAGCAGTTAACTTACAGACTGTGCCTCACTGCAGACAAACTCGATTAAAGGAACGGGCACATTCTCAACTGCGAAAGTAACTGAGATTGGTTCACACGAAAGAAATACACTGCTGATGTCTATTTCTGGATATAACTGATAGAAAGATTCAAAGAATTAAACTTAAGACAGGTAACTGCCGAATTCAGGAAAAGTTGAGAGGAAGAGACGAATTGTGGGCTGTGTTTATGTTTCAAGGTGAGTATCCTCGATATTTAACATCAGATTTTCGGGACGTTATATTAGGAAAATAAGGCTTCAAGCGCAGTTACTTGTCGAGTAAAGCCTTTGAAATAGTATGCTCTGATCTAGCTTTAACGGGGATAAAAAACTTGGCGATGGTTCCACAGAAGACATCATGGAAATTTCACAAAAGCGATTAAATTTTTATCGAAATTTGATCTTAAAACATTCATACTTAGGTCTCATTATTGTTAGTCCTTCTTTTGCACTTACAACAGAATTTCCAAGTATCAGCAACAGATGCTGAGGTTTCCCCACCATTTCTGGAGGCTGAAAACATGGAAAATCTGCACGTATATAAGGGGAAAATTTTATATTGTGCTTGGCGTAGTAGCAGAGTGCATAGAATACCAAGTTTACTACTCTAAAGCCGTTCTTTTTGCAGTTAATCAGTATCTGGCGGCAAATAATCCCCGAAATTATTAGTCTACAGCATCTATCGCTCATTACTGGATGCTGACCATCGGTGCTTGAGTCAACTCGTTAAGCTAAGGGCTATCAGTCAAGCGTCCACGCCATCTTGTACACCTCTGTGTAACGTTGTTTCGTTCCCGATCACCAGCTGGTCAAACATTCAAATCACACTACGATGTTGACCCCGGAATATATTCCGTTTATCGGACAATCAACTAGTCGTTCTGATTTGTCTTTGGTCTAAACAGAAATAATCCTTTAGGAGTTGGGGGTGGGTCAAGTACTTGCGTCGGTATACATAGTACTCTGAATAAACGCCAACAACCCTTCTCCACTGAATTCAATGAAACCTGAAATAACATGCTTGTGGGTCGTAGATGTTTTTCAGGACGTAAACTACTTGAATTGATTAATTTGACCTGATTTATGCGTGTCTATGATCAATTTCTTATCATTTTGTACAAGATAAATTATTTTGTATTCTGAATGTAGTCATCGATGGCCGAGTTAAGAGCACAATCTGACTTTGAGTTCATGTGCAATCAGACGGAAGAAAAAGCCCAAAAGATGCCATAAAACTATGTGAGATGTGGAGAATCAGATGAAGATAACACTTTCAGATAGTTGTCCAATTACTCAGACATTGGAAGCTTTAAAGCTTTCACAAGAGCAAAATTGGAAAGTTTCGTTACAACGTGTTGTACAGCGGTGGGTTCTTCTGATTTGTATAAAAAGAGAAATAGACCATGTAAATTTGCTGGATCTTACCCGCTAAATTACATGTGGAAAGTACATATGATACTTAATTGGAAAATTAATGTCCGTTTCAGCATGCATTATAGTTTCAAATGAATTTCAACAGGCCTTTGGTGACTATTAACTGTAGCCGCCTAAAACGAAACTACTTTATGAACGGATTGACGATCATAACGAATTTATTTGCGGGAATTAGTTTATCCTTACTGTGAGGACTGCTGTGAGACATTTATTTCCAATTACGCACTTCTACTCTTGAGGCATCTGATGGTCGCTAGAGGTAGTTTCATTTCGGGCTACTTTAGTTTAAAGTCACCAGGCCATTTGCCTAGCAATAACTTATATATATATCTTCTGTGAAATCTTACTTCCAATTATATGTTTTCCTCATACCAACCGGTTTCCGGAGTTCGCTCATTTTCTGTGGTTTTGAGTACCCCACATGTCATCTGGTAGATACCGTAAATAATGCTTGAAAAGAAGTCCTTGATATTAGCTTTTCAATTCTCATCCCTAAGGTTTAAGGACACGCCCTACAGAAAATGTTGGTATGGTGAACATTATATATACATATATACCTTAATCGTGAATGTTAATAATTATGGTTCACAAACATGCATTCAGTCGTTGAAAAACACTTCATGCTTCATTAGATATCCTATTATAACTTAGACCATTCCTTACTAACTGGTTTAAGCGTAAAACTTTGCACAGATGTGCAGCAATTCAAGTTGCCAAACTTCATGCAGCACACAAAGCGAGACGAGAGTAAAGGCAGGTCCAAAAGACGGATAATACACAGAAGTGTGAGAGAAAAAGAAGAGTAATATAAAAAACACCAAATTTTTATTGGATATGGCAGGTAAAGAAGAGTGGATGCATCTGCTCCATTGGGGACGATTTTGAGATATATCACCAATTGATTCTCAGAATCTCGAGGACTACACCTCCCCACGTGGCTTAAACTAACCTTTATGAATTTCATTGACTGATAAAGACATGTCTTGATTTGACCACCGCTAGCTAGCTCCTTTCTAACCTGATCCATTCTATGTTAGCTAACATTGTCCGTCGAGGAAGGCGATGGCTAGGGATGAATGCGTAACACATGTCCTAACCATCTCAATTGGTGTAACGTCACAACTCGTCGTTTGATTTCCCCTCCTTACGTAGCACTCGATACCTAACCTCAATAATGCTTACCCTGTTATACCACTTGACGCGAGAGTTAGAACACAGGCACCTGTAATCAAAGACAGCTAGCCGAACTCTGTTTGCCACTTTCATTGGCCATGAAACAGAAGTGAGTAAACTTCTGAGCAGTAATCACGCCGTTTAGTCGACAGCCGGATATCACGCTTAGAGATGATGTAAGTTGACAAATGCTACACTAGCCTTCTGTATCCGTGCTGAGATTTTGTCAGCGGTTAACAGGGACTGGCATCAACGAGAGCTAATCTCATGCCAAGCATTCTCAGACTGCTTCTGAAGGTGTCAGCTTCTCTACCTACAAGGACTATATCATCTGCATATTCATAAACTGCCAACGAGATTATACACCGGTAACAAGTCAATCTCTGAGTCACTGAAGTCACTTAGGTTTAAGTCCATCAATACATCTATAATGAAATTAAAGAGAAATGGACATCTCTGGTGGACACCTCTCGTTGTCATCACAGTTGTCAGATGACAACTCTCCGTGGACTCTCACGTAGCTGACTGTATGAGTTCGAGTCGAGTGAGTGTCTTGATCAGTGAGGTGTATCTTCTCGGGATTCTCTGCACAGCCGAACATCGCCATAGCACCTCGGTCAACGGATTCGAATGTCGCTTTCGGGTCAAGAAATATGACTTTTGTTTGCTGACTCCGGTAAGTATGCCTATGTTCCAGAATCCATCGAAGGGTGAAGACATGATGGATACACCCTTCCCTGGTCTAAGGCCTGCGTGGTTCCCTCGTGTTTGTTCCTCAAGAGTACCTCTTAGTGGCATATTAGTCAAGCTAATCCCACGATGATTATCACAGGAAGACTTGTATATCGTGATAACCAATGACTTACACCAGCCTGACAGGACTTTTTCTCATTCTCAGACGTTGCCTAGTAGCTCAGCTAACGGCGACAGTAAACTGTCTCCACCGTCCTTGAGCATCTTTGGAATCATTCTGCCAGGTCCCACTGCTTTTCCCCGTTTCAGCCTAGTGAAAGCTTTTGTTACCTCAGTTATGGACGGAGGAACTGTTTGGTTATATCCCATTCAGGAAAGTGTTGGATGCTGTGTCAGTCGAGGGAGGCAGTAGGCCAATTAAAGTGCTCCTTAAAGTGTTCTTTCCAACGTTCCAGTCATCTGTCTTGAGAGCTTATTATGGTGCCATTTTTCTCAGAGATTGTTTCACTTATCATTTCCTTTTTGCCACATGTTTTCCTGATAAGTCTAAATAGTTGTTTGGTGTTACTTGTCACCGATGACTTCTCATTCCCTTTTGCTTTTATTGCTCGCCACTCTTTACTTCGTTTCGGAGGCTTCTTGTTAGTTTGCGTTTAAGTAGCTCTCGCTCATCTTCGGAGATCGCTGGAATCAGTCTTCTTGCCTTAATCAGTTCAAATGGGGTAGTAGAAATCGACTGGCTCTTACTAACCTTTGGTTTCAGGTTATTAACAGTCTTTACAGTTGTATCTAAAGTTAACTGTGTGTTGTTTCAGGCTTCCTCAGGAGGAGTCTTGCTGTCAACCTCAGATACTCATTTCCCTGTTTCTTCCTCAAGTAGGGACTCAGTGTCTTGATCTAATTGAAGGCGTAACTGCTTTGTTGCCAAAATTTTTTTATGTCCGTCTAGTCGTAAGGATAAATGTGTGCAAACCAGGGCATGATTGTAGCATACGTGTTCCAAAAGGAGCGGCAGTCGTCTACTGATCCTCGCCAACGATACCCTACAACTATGTGGTCTATTTGAGTCCAACGTTGATTTAGGGAAGGATGTCGCCAGGTTAGGCAGTGTCTCTCTTTGTGCCTAAAGTTAGTGCTGACTAGGAACAGATGATTATCTGAATAGAACTGTAGAAGTCGATAAAGGTTGTCGGTTCGTCGGCAGGGAACTCCATACGTACCACCTACATACTTCTCAGCCTGGCACAACACTACTTGGGCATTGAAGTCATCTGCTAAAACGACCATATACGAACGTTTTGCTCTTTGCAGCGAACTAGACAGTTTCTGGTAGAAATCATCCTTAAGTTCATTTGAATTGCAGTCTATTGGGGAGTAAGTGGAGATAATGAAAAAACATCGACGGGTAACTCTATCCTTCCTTCTTCTAACGCACCCGTTCATATGGATCGCACACATACGACTATCTACTGGGATCCAGTCAAAAAGTGATTTTTCTACTCTAAAGCTCAATGCTATCCCTACACCTGTGGGTCCTCGCGAACTAGATGAGGAGTCCCCTGACGCCCTTTAGGTGAATTTTGCTGAGTGGGGTTAAGTGAATGACCACTCTTGGGTCTTCTAGGCGTGTCTCCGAAACACAACATACATCCATGACTCGAGATGGCAAAGTTACAGCTAGTGATGCCTGTAGTTTGGTTTGGCAGAGGGTCGTGACGTTATATGCTACAATATAAAGGTGACAGCGTGACTTTAAGAGGTCATCGGAGGTGTTTTTCTGGCTCTTATCGTTATTTGTGGTCACAATGAAATAAAGACTCAATAGCCTGCAGAATAGTACTGAAATAGTACTAAAATGATGTCTATTCTTGATGATAAGAGCAAATTTAGTCGTGATCCCTCCTCAGAAGATATTCAGTTGTTGCAGGGCACAGTGACAGCTAATCTACTGAAGCTTCATGGCCTAAATGCTATAAGTAAAGATAAACTTGACTCATTAAAACCGTCAGATTGTAAATTCCCACATATGTATGGGTTGCCGAAAATACATAAACCCAATAATCCTCTACGTCCTATATTGTCAATGTGCAAATCCCCAACGCATAAACTTGCTAAATGGTTAGTGGAATTATTGAATCCAGTCAAAACACAATTCTGTAAGTATGTGTTAAAAGATACATTTGAATTGGTTGATGTTCTTGATGATAGTAATATTAATATTATGAACAAGAATATGTACTCTTTTGATGTAAACTCGTTATTCACTAATGTGCCTTTGATCAAAACAGTTGACATTTTGTGTGATTATATTTCCACAAACAATTTTTTCATCCCGTTCCCTATATCTTACTTAAAAGATTTATTACTTCTATGTACTAACAATGTTAGGTTTACATTTGAAGGCGACTGTTTCCGCCAAGTTGATGGTGTTGCTATGGGCAGTCCGTTAGGGCCCCTTTTAGCAGATATTTATATGTCGTACATTGAGAATTTATCGGAAGATTTAATCGAAAATGTGCCACTTTATAGAAGGTATGTAGATGATATCGTAGTCATCAGTGATAAGCCTTGTTCTGCCACCTCAATTTTAAATCGAATGAATGAAGTTCAGAATAGCATATCACTTACATCTGTAGAAGAGGAAGATAATTGTTTATCTTTCCTAGACATATTGCTTAGTCGACGGCTTGATGGGTCAATAAAAAGATCTATTTATAGAAAACCTACCTGGACAGGACAGTATCTTAATTACCACAGTTTCTGCCCTATTCGGTACAAAAGAGGCTTAGTAAGGTGCCTCTTCAGTAGAATCCGACGAATATGCACTGAAGACACGCTTGATGAAGAAGAAAGAATATTGACACAAACTCTGGTTGATAACAATTATCCAGAAAAGTTCATCAGGAGATATAAAGTAGTCAGAACACCAAGACCCACTCTCCAACTCGCCCCTAAGAAAGACGTGTACATCAAGCTACCCTATATGGGACATCAAAGCAGCTTGATAACTAGACAAAGGCTGAACGCTGCTGTTAAAAAGACTTTTTATGCAGCTAATATCATAATATTAGAGAATGTAAAGCCATTATATCTATCTAAGCCCTTCGAACATGCGAAAAATGACGTCACATCCCACTGTATTTACCAATTTGAATGTACGTGTGGACACACATACATAGGGAGGACTCATCGATCTCTGCAAGTAAGGGCTTCAGAGCATATTCCAAAATGGCTCCAGAAACAAATGGAATCATCAGAACCTATTAACGGTGAGAACAGGAGACCTAGCTCTTCTATTGCGAAACATATTATAGAGACAGGTCATAAAATTGATGTTAACAGATCTTTTAAACCTATCTATAAAACGTGTTTGGGGCGTATCCTAAAGTTTGTAGAAGCCCTAGCAATTAGAAAGTTCAAGCCACCTTTATGCGTTCAAAAACAATTTGTCATCACATTAAACCTTCCTTGGTAAATTTTGTTTTGATACCATAGCAGATGTACTATTACCTCTGCTATTTGGTTTAGTGGTCTTCATTTTTATTTTTTGACCTTGAATATGTCCTTTTAACTTGACCTAAGTCTATTTTTCTCACCTCTTACCTCTTTATTAATTTTTTATATATATATTCCTATGACAAGTCCGTGTGTGATCAGATTGTTCGAAATGTGTTGCGCAAATACATTACACGATTCAGACAAATTACGTCTTCTTATTGCAGTATCATCTTTAGATTTCTGACTTGCATTGATTCCTAGATAGCTTATTTCCTGCCTGTCATATAGCGTGTTTTTCTTACGTCTTACTTGGATTCATTGAAGTCACTTGGTTATTTTCTCAAATTCGATCTTAGGTGCAGATCTATTTCCTTCCTAACAGATAAAATCATCGACTCTGGTGTAAAAAGCTGCAATCACTATCGTCTTTAATTTATCAAATAAGGGGAAGGGAGAGTTTCCAAAATAGCCTTCTAAAATATATGTATTTTTATTCTACTTTTCTATGGATAATCCCGGATTTATTGTTGAATGTAGCGAGATTCATTGATGGTTTTTTTTACAAAAACCCTATGGAGACATTTGTAAAACAAGTAAACGACCCAATACTAATTCTCTTTCTAACCAGAAACTACTGAAATATAATGGTTTGGTCAGGTCTACATGACATTGTTTACAATCTTAGATGCGCGCATGAGATTTATTGAACAACCCCTTTATCAGCAGCGCCATGCTGCAGTGACAAGCCACAGTGTAGCTCATCGAAATTGAACAAATAAGTTGAACTACACTAGATAGACTGTAAACCATTATTTTTATTTGTTTAAACCAAGGTCACTTAGTATGGGCATATCAAGAGACGCTCCACAGTACTGTATATTTCCGAAAAATTTTAAAATACACTAGTCCAGTAATAATGGAGTATATTAGATTAAAAGTGAAATACTATTTTGTGAATAAGAGCAAACATCGACTTAGATGTTAAGTTTCTCTGTGAATATCAAACTGCGGGTGATAATATTTCAGCTCCACAATAAAGGAAAGATAATCAAGTTGAAGTAGTGCATGTAAATTTTATTATTATTGGGAAGTCGTTATTCAATAACCATCCCGCTTACATGAAGTTGGTAATTAGCCACACATACTGTGTAACAGCTAGTAATGTTATAGACAGGTGCCCAGCCGTCGGTAGTTGGGGCGGAGTCTACACCTTTGACCTAGTGTTCAAAAGTCGAATGCCTCACCAAATTAATCACAGGATTTTTATTCAATCTTATGGGCATTTTGTATTCAATCTGTGGATAAGATTTGAATTCTGCTCGATAATTGTTTAAACTAAATATGAGTAAAAAGAATCTATGGTCTGTGATAAAGAAAATGTTTCCTTATATATTTTCCATGTTTGTGATTCAGAAAGATGTGTCTGTTCATATTGTGATAGTGTATACAAGTGTTGTTTCTTTCTTCTCGTTTTTTAGATTACCGTTGCGCTTAACTACTGGTGGAGTTGTTTATATTGTAGTATTGCCGAAAATCTGCCGGTTCTGGACACTACTAAATACTACATTAAAGTGGTTTATTCATAGTTTCTTCATACCTGCGGTTAGCAGAATTACTAACTCAACAAGAGGTCCCTCATTTGAATAAAACCGGAATATCCACTCTCAGATTCTTATTGCATTAAAGTGATTCCTTTTTCTTTTCTGTCTGTGCATCTCATGGGTTTAATCACTTCACGGAGTCAACAAACCAGTCAACAGGATACAGTGAAAATCAGTGAATGTCCGGTTGGCAAAGGCAGTCAAGGATGTCCCATGAATCATGGTACTACAGACTTTAATATGGACAATATGGTAAGTATGACTTCAGTTGTTAGATTAAGTGTTTGTCAGAGACTTTCAAAAGGAACATGTCCACTGGCAATTGCCTCTCCAATATGCTGATTGATTGGCCTATAGCCAAACAGGCATAAATCAGTTCAAGTTTTTATGGTACACTTTTAATAAAAGTGAGATGTGTATCTACCGATTTAACTGCTGCTGTGGAGTGAGCCAGTTACATAGGCCGTATAACTAGGGGTGTTTCTCGTCGAATTTCCGAACATCACCCTGCGTGGTTAAGCAAAGGACAAACAAAATCTATTCGCAGCGCTATTCTGTCTGATCTTGTGGTTGCAGAACACAAGATTGACGTTAACCATGCTTTCAGGGTCATTTACCGCATATCTTAAGAGTTCGATTACTAAATTTTGCTTAGGCTGCTGGGATCCATATTAACAAGCCTAATTTGTGCATCCAAAAGAAGTTAGTTAAGACATTATCATTACTTTTGTCATGTAGGTTTGAATGATCGTGAATTTTTGTGGAATTTTCCTAATTTTAGTTGATATTATATTCGCTATTATATCTTCATTATTATTATTATTGTTATAATTTAAGCATCTTTAATGAACTGTAACTGCATTGATCATTTTTTACAAATCGATATTATTTAAAAAACACTAATATTGTTATTGACTACTAATCTAGAATATGTTGCGTATATAAACATATATTTATTATTATTTTGTTAATTATTTTTTATTTTAATTCCTAGAGGAACATAGGGCTTCAGATGCGCACCTCCATTGCCTTCAGTTTTCTGCCAACTTTTTCACCCAGCTCCAAGTCTGCCCACATGCTTTCATCTCCTCTTCACATGACCTCCTCCAAGTCATCCTTGCACTGACGACCAACTCGCCGCTTCCCTTTCGGGTTCCACTCGAGCAATGGCTTGTCTAGTGATGTCACTTGATGGTTTTCTCAGAGTATGGCTAATCCATCTCCATTTCTTCCTGCCTATTTGTTTCACAATCGGTTTCTGGTTGGTTCGCTCATTGCCAGAGATCCCTGTTGCTGATCTTTTCTGGCCGGCCATCTAATCTTGAGTATTGAGCAAATACAACTGTTAATGAAGGTCTGAAGTTTGTTTGAGGTGCTCTTCATGACTCACCAAGTCTCTGATTCGTATAGTAGCACTGACTTCACGTTGGAGTTGAAGATCCGGATCTTATTTTTGATGCTGAGTGCTGTTGACCTCCACACAAACTTAAGAGTAATGAAAGCTTGTCTTTCTTTTCCGATTCTGGCTTTGATATCCTCGTCAGTTCCGTTGGTCTGTAGTTGAAACTATGCTTCCCGCCAAATACAAGATGATGTTACAGGACTGGACCGCAGCGACGCCTAGTTTAAAAATAGGAAGTGAAGTGGTAGAGCACGTTGACCGCTTCACTTATTTGGGAAGTACCATCCCCAGTGTCAACGGGCTGATCTCTGACGAAATCTCAGCACGGATACAGGGGGCTCGTTTCGCATTTGCCAGTTTACACCGTCTCTGGCGTATGTGAGATATTCGACTACCAACCTAAGGGCGGGTGTACTGCTCATCAGTTCGCTCCGTCCTCCTTTATGTCTGTGAGACCTGGCCACTGAAGGTGGAAGACATGAAAAGATTAGCCGTTCTATCTCCCGTGTGAAGTGGCATAATAAGGTGGGCAATATTGAGGTTGGGCGTCGAGTTCTAGGTAAACAGGGGAAATCAATCGACGAAGTTGTGAAGTTACATCGACTGAGATGGTTAGGACATGTGTTACGTATACGTAGTCATCGCCTTCCTCGACGAGCAATGTTAGCGGATATGGAGTCAGGCTGGAAAAAAGCTAGCGGAGGTCAAACAAAAACATGGCCTCACCAGTCAATGAAATCTACAACTGTTAGTCTAAGCCACGTAGGAAGGTGTAGACTTCCTGACCGGTTGGGGTCCTCGAGACGGTAAAAACCAATAATTGGAAACAATTGGTGATGTGGCTCAAAATCCTTCTCAATGGCTGGTGCAGATGCATCCACTCCTTGTGATTTATGATTTCCAATGAAACTATATTGTTCTTCGTTATTACTCTTCCTTTGTCTCACACCTCTGCTTACTGTCTCTATTATGCATTTCTTCTAATTTCTTCTGTTGCTTTGTGTGGTACAAGGAGGGAGTGTGGCGACTTGAACTGGTGCACATATGTGCAGAGTTCTATGTCGAAAACAGACAGACAGGTAGGTAAAGGAGGTTGTTTCTTTCAGGTTCCTCCCATTTATGCTGGTTGATTGTTGTCTGTTGTGGTTGTTGCTGTTGCTGTTGGCCAGGTACCTTCATCACCTGTGTTTTCTCTGTGTTCACCTGAAGTCCTATCTTTGATGCTTCCTCTGCCAGCTTGTTGCTTTTCATTTGCATATCTTCCAGTTTGTGGGAAATCAGACATATATATCACATCGGCGATGTCCAGATCCTACAAGTCTCTTTTTGTGTGAGTCCATTTTATGCCTGTTTCCTCATTGGCCGTTGTCTGTCGCATTATCCAGTCTACTGCAATCAGGAAGATCATTGGCGATAATAGACAGCCTTGCCACACTCCCGTCCTCACTTCGAAGGCGTCCGTAAGTTTCCCGTTGTGGATTACTTGTCATGCACCATTGTCGTATAACTGTTGGATGAGATGTATAATTGTCGATGGCCCCACTTTAGTAGTAGCGAAGTAGTTGCCAAATCACCTCTCAATCGATGCTGCGCTATCGAAGGCCTTTTCAAAGTCGATGAAGTTGAGTGAGATAGAGAGTTGAAGATCTGACTGCCATTCCAAGCTTTGTTCAATGATGATCCGTAGAGTGGCGATTTGATCAATACATGACTTAATTCTCCTGAATCCAGCCTATTCCGGTCGAAGCTTTTCATCCAGGGCTTGTTTGGTTCTCTCCAGGATGATGCGGCTTAGTATTTTGCTTGGGATGGACAGGAGCATAATTCCACGCCAGTTTTTGCATTGACTTAAGTCTCCTTTCCTTGGTAGTTTGAATAAGTATCCTTTCTTCCAATCCTCAAGTGCTTTGCCCTCTTTCCACACCTTCAGCATTGGTGTCATCAAGTCCGCTGTTGTTTCTGGGTCCATTTTCAAAGCTTCTGCTGGGATTCCATCTGGTCCTGGTGCTTTTCCAGCTTTTAGCAACCTGACTGCATTCAGGACTTCTGATTTCGTCGGGGGGATCGATGTTCACTGGTAGTTGTGCTTCCATTGTTGGTATTGTTGGGCGCGTTGTAGTTGGCGGTCGATTTAGAAGTCTTTTGAAGTGTTCAGCTCAGTGTTTTCTTTACTCTACTTCTTTGGGCTTGACTTTCCATTGTCATACTTTACTGGCTTAATCTGTGTCGAACTTTTGCCTGATAGGTTCCTAGTTGTTTGGTATAGTGTGGCGAGGTCTTTCTTGCCTGCAGCTTGTTCTGCTTCACTTGGCATGGCTTCATAATATTTTCTTTTGTCTTCCCCGGCACTCTTCTTCACTCTTCTGTTCAGCGTATTGTAGCTTGTATTCAACTCCTGTTTTTGTTGCTCGTCGGTGCACTGGATAATCTTTTATTTCACTATCCTTCTCTCTTCTATTAGTTTCCAAGTGTCCGCAGTGAGCTACTGTTTGTCCTGCCTCTTCTTTCTGCCTAGAACTTCCATGTAGGTTTGACTCCACACCGTTTTCAAGTTGTGCCAGTGCTTTTAAATATATATATATATATATATATATATATATATATATATATATATATATTTAATTGTAGAGCCAGAAGAGGAATTTATCGAAAAGAATATTCTATGCTCGATTATTTTGTGTTTTATAGACGTCTGAGTGAAAGTGGGATTTATCAGACAATGCATGAACATGCGGTAAAACAGATTTTTTTAGGGATTAAGCAGGTGTGCGGAAATTCTGGTTGAGTATGACTGACGTATGCCACTCTGATGTGGTGGTCCAGCTTAGATTTTGTAATGGTCCAACAAGCAGTACTGACTGAAAGTCAGTTGAATAGCTGTAGGTGCCATAGTTTGACTGGAAAGTGGTGGAAACCTAGAGGTGGTGTCGTAGTTTTCCAAATAGAACGTGACGACAGTTAAACTCTTTCTTCTCATATGGGCAAAAAGCCATCACCTATAGTACTCTCCCATTATGACGTGTGTCAATGCATGCAGTGGGATTGCTCACCTTTTTCCTAAATTACTTATTTTCGCGGAGTCAGCCATTCTTACCTTAGCTAAATTCTTATGTTCCGACAATCTGGCTACCCCCGACCTACTAGTTTGACCTATGTAGTTGACCTAACACATAGTCATTGCAGGGTATTTTGTAAATTATATTATTTTGTCTAATTGGGTCAACTGGGTCCTTTAACCTACAGAGCTTGTCCTACATGAGTGAGTTTGTAGGCTTAAATGTTATTCTAATTCCTGCTTTGTTGAAAATCCTACGTAGTGTCTCAGATGTCCCCTGATTATATGGTATAATCGTAGGTGCCTTGTATTTTCTCCTATTTATATTTTCATTATTAGTTTCCTCATTATTTTTATTTTGCTTTTGACCTTTTTTGACCTTCCTGATGAATTTTATAGGATATTTATTCGATAGCAACGCTTCTCCTATCCGTTTTATTTCGTCACTTAGGTCTTTTCTTATACTACTTAGTGCTACTGGTCGGTTTGTTAGACAGACAATGTTGTCTGTACAAATTTCTTCCTAACACACAGGTTTGGCTTCTTCATTTGGATTCCGATAGCTTCAGCTGTACGTAGAAGACGAATTTGTAAAGCAAAATTAAGCGCAATAGGAATGCGATAAATAACTTTTATGCTCACTGTCTATAGGGTGTGCTAAGACAGAGCTACGAATGGATCTTGTTTGTCCTTTGCTTGACCATGTAAGATGATGTTTTTGAGAAATAGGATGATGAACCTGCTTAATTGCACGCCCGATGTGGCTGGCTCCGCAGTTGCATTCAAATCGGTAGGCACACATAGAGGAGGAGGCTAAATTAGGTAGTTTGTCTGTATGTTTCAAAAGTAAAATCAGAGTGGTAGTGAAGAAGGCAACGTACTTCAGCTGCAATGAATTCTCTTTTAACTGTATTCTTCAGGCGTTGTGTTACTATTTCGACGATTTTATCACCGTGTGACTACAGGTTAATGAACAATAGCCTTTTAGGAGCTGTTGTCAATATCAGTTAGTTTCTTCTTCTTCTTTATTGTTGTTCCCTTGGGTTCCTAGTGGAACATAAGGCTTCAACTGCACGTCTCCAATTGCTTCTGTCTTCTGATGTACTTACTTTTCACCTGCATCCATGTTAGTCCATACCGTTTCAACTCCTCTATGTCACCCTTGCACTGACGACCCACTCGTTGCTTCCCTTTCGGGTTCCACTCGAGCAATGGCCTGACTCGCGACGTCGTCCAGCGGCCTCCTCAGCGAGTGTCCAATCCATCTCCACTTTCTCTTGCATATTTGATGTTGGTTGGCGATTGGTTCTTGGTTTGTTTCTTCCCATAGTTTCTTTTTGGTGATTCTTTCCGGCTCAGCCGTCTGATCTTCAGTATAGATCCAGCGAAGACAGTTGTTGATAAAGGTAACGTCTGCAACAGTCTGTTGGAAATATTCTTTTTGACCCATCCGCCAGGTTTCTGATCCGTATAGAAGAACTGACTGACTTGACGCTGTTTGTATTGAAAATCCGACCGACGGAATTTTGTTGTTGATTCTGGCTGAGTGACGAAGATTTCCAGATTGGTTGTTTCAGGTTGATGAATGAATGTATTTCTCGCTCGATTTGATATCCTCGTCCGTTCCGACTTCCTATAGTTGAGACAATGCTTCCTCCCTAGATAAGTGAATGAAAGTTAGTTTCTTATGTGTGTGCTTAAGCTTGACAATGGGTAGATATACCTTAAGTGAGATGGTATTGATGTTGATGATTATGAGTCACAAATTGATTAGAAGTATGAATGAATGAATGAATGAATGAAGGGGTCGACACAGTGTATTCAATAGACATGTGTGAGATAGATGATAGGAAAATAAAGTACACTCGGAAATGTGAATATAATATGAGCAAAATGTGTTGTCAAAATAATAGACTAAATAAAATATTAGAATATGATAACATAAAGTGAAATAAACATGAAACAAAGATGGAACGTTTAATAATGTGGTTTTTTTAATCATCACATGATAAAACCAAAACTATAGTAACGAAAGATATCGCACAGATTGTTTTTGTACACAAGGTTCTGAGTTTATGTTATGTATCATCAAAGCTTTAGCTGCAATGGAAAGCAAATGCATTTGTGTCCCTTTTGGCAAACTTTGTCGACTACTGTATTAAAGAGATGTATTAGATGCTTTGTGGTCAGTAACTGCTATCTGTTGCAGTATGGATGAATTATAATACCTTTACACTTTCCTTTGATTAACCAAGCTGAGAAATGTTTTTGAACGCGGCGGGATATGTTTCTCCACGAACGTCCTGTACAAAAGCCTGTGAACACATATATACACATAAAATTAGATAATTGTGATAACATTTCCTTAACACTAAGATGGATGACTAGGGTAGGTTATTCGTGAAGTTAACAGCGAAGAACATTTTTCTCAACCGACAATCTCAGTGTCATCTGTATATTTAAGTTTAAATGTTACAGCACTTTCTTAGCCACCTAACCCTTTGTGTATTTCTTCCACATATTGACACACACACCTACTGACATCCAACGGTAACTGCACTTCAAAGACTGATAAAAGAATAGGGATGTTGGTTTCCATTGTGACTGGGTTAACACAATCACGTCTTTCTTATCGCAAAGTAGTTTTGTGAAGATAACACATCTCCCCATCATAGGCCATCTGCATTAGATGAAATCTGGACAGTAATGTCAAAATTAGGGTTTCGTAAGGAAAGTAAAGCCAATCTATTGGACATTTGAATCTTTGTTGATTTGGATGGATATAAAATGTGCTAAACACATGCCAAGCCTACTACAACTTTCTGTGACCAGTAATTATGATCAAAGTAGGCATCATCACCAAAAGGTAACACTAGTCAATGAAGTTATTCACTATAGATGTCAGGTAAGTATGCAAGTGTAGATTGGCCTAGTAAATTTCACAGGATGCCAAAAAATAACAATTGGTACTTCACATTGACAAGCCTACAAGTTGTTCACAACGATAAACACATACTTTTTCAACATCTTCTATCTATTTGTGTGTTCTGCAATGGATAACCTGAACTGATGTAATTCCGTGCTAAGTTGATCTGTCAGTGTAGATGCTTTTTCAGCTGCTGAGGTAATTGACTGAATACAAAAGTGTATTTGTATTGAACACTAGATGGTGAGTAACTAGTGTCATACGTCTAGTCATTTTTTCGGTGCAAACTGAATTCTACCAGTCAAATTTGCAGTGAATGGTCACCATTCCAGTTGGATCGTCATCACAGGGCACTGTGAATTGTTATTATCATATGGTTGGAAGCAGTGGACAGAAAGCCTTGGACCTAGGCTCACTCACCAGTCGGCAAAAAGCTCCCTTCTGAAATTCGAACACGCGTCGCCCGGTGAGCGCTGCAGTGAGAGACATTACCACTTAGGTATTCGGACTTGCAATTGATCTCCTGTAGGACTGTAATGGATACTTTGGTTGGACACTAAGTAATAGTCGACTATGGTCTAGTCCTTTGTTTGATGCGAACTGAATTCTACTAGTCAAGTTTGCAATGTAGTGACAAGTGCCAATAAGCACACAACCTAGATCCAAGGCTTCCCACTGACTGTCTCCAACTGTCTAATAATAGAAAAGTACTAGATATTAAATGTGCGTCGGTGGCACAGAGGTTAGGATGCTCGCCGACCATGCACATGGTCCGGGGTTCGATCCCCGGCTGACTCACTCCTTTACCTTGCTGATCCAGAATTAATGTTGGTAAAGAGGAAAGGTTGGGCATGAGGCTAGCAACTCCATCCTGTAAAATAAACACTGCTACAGAAACTTCAAGCATCCTGGCCGATAACTGCTACCTTGTCGTGGTGGTCGGGCTTGAATACCGTAATGATCCAACATGCTAAACTGACTGAGACTGTCCCTTCTGTCTGTCTGTCTGCACGTATGTGCGGCAGTTCAACTCGCCACACTCCCTCCTTGTACCACACAAAGCAACAGAAGAAAGTACAAGAAAAGCATAAGTAGAGGTGTGAGACAAAGGAAGAGTAATAACGAAGAACAAAGCAGTTTCATTGGAAATCATAAATCATAAGGAATGGATGCATCTGCACCAGCCATTGAGAAGGATTTTGAGCCATGTCACCAAGTGTATCCAATTATTGGTTTTTACCGTCTCGAGGACCCCAACCGGTCAGGAAGTCTACACCTTCCTACGTGGCTTAGACTAACAGTTGTAGATTTCATTGACTGGTGAGGCCATGTTTTTGTTTGACCTCCGCTAGCTTTTTTCCAGCCTGACCCTATATCCGCTAACATTTCCCGTCAGTCGATGAAGGCGATGACTAGTCAGCGATGCGTAACGCAGGCACCTATGATCAAAGACAGCTAATTTTTTCATGTCTTTCACTCTGTGGCCAGGTCTCACAGCCATAAAGGAGGACGGAGCGGACTGATGATGACTCTGTCCCTTCGGGTCCTACCATGTCAGGAATGTTGTTTGGATAGCGGTTAAACTAAAAGCGGTTACCATGGGGTATATGGGCTCCAGTATCCAGTCGGATCAAATAGCGTATGAACCCATATGGGTCACTGGGAACAATGGGAATGCAGCTCCTGACGCTGCTCCGCTGCCTTGCGAATTAGACTCCAAGTCAAAGGCTTGGGGGGGGGGTGGTCCCTGAATAAAACCACCTTCTTCGGTCTGGGCGCCCGGGCAGTATCTCAGCCCTCACACAATGAATTGAATAAAGCAACAAACAATCAATGAAACTTATCGCGTGCTATTACACGTGTAGCAGTTTCCTTCTTTCTTCCCTTCCCGATGATAGTAAGCGAATACTGTTCGAACTTGTTAAGCATGACTGTTTTCCTTCCAGAGGAAGTTCTTTATCCGTTCTCTATATATATATATATATTCTCTTCTTTCTTTTTTTCTTTTGATCTGTGTTGTTTTATTATTATTGTGTGGCGCATCCTTCTTGGTGCCATATTGTACCAAGTTTTTATGCGTTTTAAATAAATAAAGATAAATAAATAAACTTCAAGCCACTAGCTTGAAGCCCTATGTTCCACTGGGAACGTGAAGAAAAAAAACTAGATATTAAATAACAAAACTCATGGTTCTACTTCTGGTGAAAATGGCGTATAATTTATCAAAGTGTGCTTCATAATAATGCCTCAGGGGTGTTTCTATTGTTTCCCTTCCTTCTGCAAAATGTTACATCTTGGAATCCTGTTTCTTCTTATTCCTATTAGATGCCTCCTCCGAATCAACTCCCAAGTCCTGGGCAACCTTTTCAACTATCCACTGATCGTGAAGTATCTTCTATCCCTAAAGCAGATGATTCAAATGGCGGGAAATGGGTCTATCCATCAGCTCAAATGTTTTGGAATGCAATGCTGCGTAAAGGCTGGCGTTGGCGAGATGAAGATATTAAACCTGAAGATATGAATAATATTATACGCATACATAATGTAAACAATGAAATAGCCTGGCGTGAAGTTTTGAAATGGGAAGCTTTACACGCCCAGTAAGCGTGCATACATTGTGGAATTTGCCTGCAGTTTGAATAACACCCCCCTCCCTCCCCCCAACCAACATATAAGTCGACTTATACTGATAAGTAAAAGTGTAGTCATAAATCTCATGAATAACACGCATATTCAGGCATTAATGAAGACAAAACACACGTAGTGTTCAGTGAAGAGATTCTTTTCGGCAGATTCATTTTCTTTGAATACTTTTCTGTTGTATGCAGAGCTCCGATTTGCCTGTCCGAATGACCAGAGATTCATAGGTGCAAAGGAAGGTGACGAAAGAGTATTGCCTTCATCAGTTTGTCCTTGACTTTGTAGATTACTTCCAGGGAAGTGTTTGTTGACATGGAATAACCAGTGTTGACAAGCTCATTCGAAACAGAGTCACTACTACGTTTGTACAACCATGAGGGATAGTATTTTTGAACCGTTTGAGATAGGATACGCGTCGAAGGACCAGTATATTTGGCTTCACGAGAACTGACAAATATGTACGTAAAAGTGGTGAGATGCGAGATCTTATCGTCAGGGCTTCTTCAGATCAGTGGACGAGTGGAGAACACTACTCTTATCGTTGGTGCAAAAAATGTTCCTCTCAAATATGTTGAAATTCTCCTTTTAGGCATATCGAGGTTCATGTAAAGTTTCAATTTTAGAACAAGTAGTGTTTCGTTTATTTGAACTTTTGGTATGATATTCTTGTCGATGAATGTTGTTGGGTATCCATTTAGGGTGAAGGTTTCTTTCATAAGATCTAGTTGTGCTTCTATGGTGTCAGGCCTACAGATGTGTCAGATCCGAGTAGGTTTTTAGAGTTGGGTGCTCGTTGTGAACGTAAGCAAAAATTTAATTCAATCCCTTCGCACTAAGATGTGTTTTTTTTTCAAGGGTTGTCTCGGTGGTTCATTGATAGTGATTGCTTAACCAACTACACACGTGATCGGAGTTCGACACGCGTTGAACGCACTCGTGATAACTTCACCTAGTTTACTAGCCAACAGTCAGCCTAGAGAAAGTGGAAAGATTGAGTTTGAGGCTAGCAATCTCACCCCCATCCCTAACGCCAAATACTACTATAACTTCAAAGTTAGAAATCTTATATTCTAATGGGGACTCAAGGATTGACAAAAATCACCCCTTGTGCCAGACTACACTATAGTTTGTGTTCCGGAAGTAAAGAAATTCTGTTTTTTTTAACGCCCACAGTAACTTCTTATTGTTTCACCTTATTAGTCTATAATTGATTTCCTAATGATATCTACTGGTAGCAGATCACTTGATAGAACATCCAACTGTGTCTTCCTTACCTCAATTGGTGTTTGTGTGTGTAATGTGAATTTCACGCCTTCTAGCCTTCATTGTTATTTCTGTTTTTCGGTTTGTCTTCCTTTTGCTAGTGAATGTATGACACCGAAATTACGGAGATTTGCTGGAGACGCAAAGAATTATTCACCGAGGGCTCGAATCAGACATGCTATGGGGTATGTGATTTTTGTGAAATAGTTTCTTTTTGTATACTGGACAAAGAGCGGTAACATACCTGACAGAAAATGAGGACACTGATGCAAACCAAGTTATTAGATCAGATAAATTAAGTGAAGTAACACACACAGAGTTTATGAATTTGTAGGTTTGGCAGCAGGCCCGGAGGATGGCAGTAGTGCCTGGCTGTACCTGTTTCTTTGCACACAGAGCTTCTGTTGGTTCAAACGAATTTAAATGGTCCCTCTCGTTTGAAGTGTTCGGTATCTCCAAACCTTTGGTAATTTATTCAACACCCGATATATAATAGAGAAAGACTCTTCAATGACAGAAAGCCTTTTGGTTTGTTTGTGTAAGGTGATCCAATATACAAATGTTAACGCTTTTGACAACAGCTTTATTTAATCACAGTGGTGTAGGTATTCACGGGAAGGAAAACTTAAGCTCCCAGAGCAACAGCCGATGTAACTGCCTTCAAAGTAGCAGATGAATTGATAGATGCAATTTGAAGTGGCCAAACTGTTCAATGCATCTCATGAACACTTGAAATGCTCGACTGAGTTCGAAACAAGCTGATGTTGGGAAAATTATCTCTGTGCTAGGACTCAATAATACATCGGATTATGTTTGAGGATGTGAACAGGCAACTAAACGGGGGTTCTGAGTTTTTGGTTATACAAAATTGAACCAGACTAGATGTATTTCATCGTTTGTTATTTGTTTATATAAGCATAAGGGTGATACAATATAGGCAGCAAGAGTTGGGCTACACAAATGGAGACTTTTCTGAAGTTTTATCCCTTTGTCTTCCAGTTGGATTATAAGGCTTCAAACTTGAGCTGTGAAGTCTCAATAGCTATGGTGTTGTTTTACTGGGTGAGGTTCCTTGCCTCACGCCCCCCAGGCTTTCTTTTTTAACAGACTTAGTACCGGCTTTTTATCAACCTCATTCAACAGCTATATCATACTGACAACTTTAATGTTAAGACAGGAGTAAATCAAGTCTGCGTACTGTCACTGATGGTATTGGTAATTGTGATTGACTGGATTGTGTGGCACACCGTGTGTGGGCGGCAAGTGGAGAGAAATACATTGTTCTGGTAAGAGGAATCTAGGAGATCCGGATTTCGCTGATGATTAATGTCTCATGTCACACAAATTTAAGGAGACTTGCAGGTGGGAACCAACAATATAGCTGAGGAGGCTGGCAGCAAAGACAGAACTTCAAGCGAGCATATAGAAGTGAAAGATGGTGAAAGTAACCAACAACAAGCACCAGCCACTATCACAATGAGAAATTTGAAACGGGTCGCTTCCTTCATCTATCTAGGCAGGCATCGTTTCAACTGTGGGCGAAACGGATGAAAATGTCAAAGGCGAAATCGGAAGGGTGAAATACACTATCAGATTGAAAATCTTCTGAACAAGAACAAAATTCTGATTTTCAACATCAATTTTAAGTCAGTTCTGAAATTTGTATTGTGTGAATCACGAAAAACATTCCCAACAGCTTCCTTCGCCAGTTTTATATATTGAAGATCAAATAGCCAGGAAGAATTTCCAATAAGAAACTCTGAGAACGATCCATTCAAGAACCTTTTGCTCAACAAATATGGAAATGGATTAAACACACACGTTGACGAGGCCGTTGAATAACAAAGCACAGTAGGCGGTTGCTCGAGTGCATCCCGAATGCGAAATAACGAGTGGGGTGTCCGAGGTTGACACAGAGGAAGACCGTGTGAGGAGGCGATGCGAGGTTATGGGCAATGAGGGGTGGGGTCAGATAAAGAGGACAAATTGGAGATGTTCTGTAGAAGCCTTATATTCAACTCGGAACAATAATAATAATGTAGTTTTTAAGAAATTAACGTACCACTTACCTCGCTAGCACCAAGCTAATCTGGTCGCTTGGACGAGTTGAAGTAGCTTCTCTCTGTTGTTAGGTTTAACTTTTGCTTTCACTACACACACACACACACACACTTACATGCCCACACACGAACACCGATTGATTTTATGCTTCTTGCAGACTTACGCAGATCACATTTTTGTCGTTCATGCACTCGATTACCTGGAGCGGACTTTTTATATGCTAGGCTAACATCCACACCTGTTGTGTTCGGGAGCTCATGACACACTGCCCAGTAGGTGGGATGGGACTCGAATATCTGATCTATCACCTGATACCAGGTGGTCAAGCCAATAATCACGTTATTCTCTCTATTCATTGATTAGTTACAATATAGTGACTTAGTGCTAATTTGTTTTCTACAAGTGTTGGCATTTCTAACCAGCGACTATGTTTACTAGATTACATTGTATTATTCTTTACTTACTACTCTCCTCCCTTATTCTTTCCTGGGCTACTCAAAAAGGACTATGTCGTACTGTGAAGGTGTGCCAAAGTCACCTTGTTACTACTATTCTCAACAGACATATGAACAACTCATGTGAGAAATGGTCCAAAATCCATATTATCTGACTCGTTCACCCCTTCTATTCATCGCAGCTCTCCCCACCCCTTTGCATCTCATCAGGCAGGACTAGAATTCATTGTAAAAGAGTATATAGTCGCTCGTACAACTAAGTACAGAAACTCATCAACACTCTAATAGGCCCTCACGTGTTTTATGTGATGGATAAAGTATTAAGCGTGAGACTTACAACTTACTATGTAATTAGCAAAATAAGTGGCTCTTTCATCTCTTCTACTATTTTTAATTTATGATGGCACTATTTTAATAATCTTTCAATTTTAGCTATTTATATTATTATTATTATTATTACTATCATTATTTATACTTTTTGTACATTTTTAACTTTGTTGTTATTGCTAATACCAAAAAAAGTTGCTATTATCAATTATGTTTACCTACACGCCGTAAATATATATATATATATATATATATATATCTGCTATACCTGCCTACGAACGAGTAAAACTAACCATTACATGCGGGAAATTAATCTGACAATATTGTGTAGGCGAAGTACCTTAGCTGAAATGCTGTCAATTAAGGGGATTAATCCGTGAAAGTTGTTAACTCTCTTTATTATATAATATATCGTATGATTATTTTTCGTCCGTTTCTACACGAAACTGTATACTACTGATTGGGTGAGATGAGTAGTTGCATACTACCTTATAATAAACCAATAGGGCCTACAAGCCACCAGGTAGATCGAAGTGATCTAAACACTGGACGGCCGTTTCTCTCATTCGAGGCCGAGCTCATCAGCGGTGTACCCGACTTGGCTAAGTTTAGAGAACCGAATCAGCTCAAACCACTCTCTGACTGACTGACTGGTTCTAGTCCTCACGCTTCACTCAGCGCACAAAGCCAGAGAAGAAAGTAAAAAGAAAAAGACAGTAAACAGAGTTGTGAGGCAGAAAGAATAGTAATATCGAAGAACAATATCGTTTTATTGAAAATGATAAGTCAAAAGGAGTGGATGCATCCGCTCCATTAAGAACCAATTGTCTCCAGCCATTGGTGTTTACCGTCCCGAGGACCCCAACCAGGAAGTTTACACCTACGTGACTGGATTTAACTAAGTGTCATGGATTTCATTGACTGATGAAGCCATGTTTTGATTTGACCACCGCTAGCTAACTCCTTTCCAACCTGACACATTCTGTTAGCTAACATTGCCCGTCGAGGAAGGCGATGGCTAGGGATGAATGCGTAACACATGTCCTCACTATCTCAATTGGTGTAACGTCACAACTCGTCGATTGATTTCCCCTCCTTACGTAGCACTCGATGCTTAACCTCAATAATGCTTTTAACCTATTATGTCACCTAACACGGGAGTTTTACAACGCAGGCACCTGTTATCAAAGAAAGTTAGTCAACCTCTGTTTGCCACTTTCATTGGCCATGAAACAGAAGTGAGTGAACTTCTGAGCAGTACACACGCCATTTGTTCGATGGCCAGCTGGATATCACGTCCACGCCAGAGACGGCGTGAACTGCCACATGCGAAACTAGCCTTCTGTATCCATGCTGATTTTTCATCAGCAACCACCCGCTGGGACTGGTTAATGCAACTTCCGAAATAAGTGTAGTGGTGAACACGCTCCATCACTTCACTCCCTATTTCTCAGATAGAAGTCAATGTAATCCAGTCAGTCCTGTAGCTTCATCTCACATTTGACGGGAGCGAATTTCATGCCAAGCATTCTCAGATGGCTTCTCCTCAAGGTGTTCAAAAGACCCTGTCTGCATTTTGTCAGCGTTTTCACCTAGGAGGGAGAACTATATCATCTACATATTCATAAACTGTCAACGGTATTATACACTGGTAACAAGTCAAGCCCTGAGTCTTTGAAGTCAGCTGTTTGGGTTGATTCCATTAGTACATCTATGATGAAATTAAAGAGAAATGGGGACAGTGGACATCCCTGGTGGACACCTCTCGTTGTCATCACAGTTGTCAGATGACAACTCTCTGTGGACTTCCACCTAGCTGACTGTATGAGTTCGAGTCGAGTGAGTGCCTTGATCAGTGAGGTGTATCTTCTCGGGGTTCCCTTCACAGACAAACATCGCCATAGTACCTGTTGGTCGGCGGAACCGAATGTCGCTTTCAGGTCAAGAAATATGACAATTGTTTGTTGACTCCAGTAAGTATGCCTATGTTCCAGAATCCGTCGAAGGTTGAAGATATGATCAATACACCCTCTTCGTGGTTGGAAGGCCTGCGTGGATCTCTCATGTTTGTCCCTTTCGGCTACCGCTCAGTCTACGCATGATGATTATTCAGGCTAGAAGCTAAGCATATTGGTCAAGCTAATCCCCCCTGCGATTATCACAGGAAGACATGTCTCCCTTCGTGTATATCGTGATAATCAGCCTTACTTACTTACTGACTTACTTCAGCCTGACGGGACTTCCTGTGATTCTCAGACGCTGCATGATCCCTTAGTTAACGCAGACAGTAAACTGTCTCGACCGTACTTAAATACCTCTGAAGTCATTGCACCAGGTCATGCCGCTTTGCCTAGGTTCAGACTAATGACAGCCTTAGTAACCTCAATTATGGACGGAGGACGAGTTTGTTTGATTCTGTTATGTACTACTGAGTGGTTAATTGTCCTGACGCGAAAACGGGGAAATCGGAAAGCCACCACGTTCACGATGATGTGTGTATTTTCCAACAAGGGAAATTGACTGTCACACAAGTGTGTGAGTGAAAGGGTACGTAGTGTACAGAAGGTGTGAACAAGTGTGTATAAAAGTGTACAATACAAAAGTATATACGAAAATGACTAATATTCGTGAACCAATAAGATAGATATCTTACCATGATTGGATTCTGATTGGTTGTAATGTCATGTGACAAAAAGGTCATACATTGTTCATTTAGTTAATGGACAGACAAAGCATATTGTCAGTTATAGTGGAATATCGATCAATATACACATAGCAAAATATAACAGACTCAAAACAAGGTAGACATCATGTGACTACATATCAGTATCCCATTCAGCGAGGTGTTGGATGTTCGGTAAGTTAAATGTGGCAGTAGGCCTATTAAACTACTCCTCAAAGCCAGTCTTTGAACTATTTAGGTTGCAAATTTTGAATTCTTCTTCTCAATAGTCATAGCTTTACAGCTGGCGGGTTTTTTTCGCACCTAAGGTGTGATTTTTCTTTAATTTACATTATCTGTGTGAGATGCAGACCACTATTATATAAACACACATTTTTATCAAAATTTTCCAACATAGTCCTTTTTTATCTTCAGTTATGAATTACCCTTTGATCGTCATGATTGGGTGGTGGATCGTTGCGGAAAAGAGGTGCGTTATGTGATCGATTATTATGATGGAGGTTCTGTAGATGAAACATACCAGTTTGCCATATTAGATGTAAGACCTGCATTGGATTCGTTCAGTGCATTATGGGATCGCACTCGAGTTGCTTGGATGCGTTTCAAATCTCCTGATCCGCCTGCAAAGCCAGGGCCACATGATCCAACATTTCCAAAGAAGAATACAACGTCATGACGGACTAATATTACTGCTGCTGCTGCTATACTACATAAATGAAGTCTGCTCATCCCCCACACCCACCCTGTACCCGCCCTCACCACATCTACGTCGCTCTTATGTTTTTGGCGTATCGTATATTTTCAGAAGTGCATAGTTTAGTTCGTATGTCGTGGTTAACCTGTAATAAAACATTAGAAGTAAATCATCCTGTACATTCATTAATAAGAAGAGATAAATTTATGTTGACATTACTGAGTTTTTTTTTTCAAAGTTATTCTGGATGGGAGGTTTTTTATTGGGAAATGCTGAAGAGAGTTTGGAATTGGAGTCATCTCTGACCTGTCATCACTTTTCATGCGTGAAGGTAATGGCGATTATTCACTTCACTTTCACTGCTGTTCGTGCTAATGTATACGTTCATGTGTGAAGGAAAGTGTTGTGTGTGTGTGTGCGTGTAACGCAAAGGATTTGTGTGTTAGCAGGTCTCTTTGTACAATTCATTAGATTTTTGCAGTGCATTTCGCTGTCTCACAACGAAAGAGATCAAAAAAGAAGAAATATGTCCAACTAGTTGAGCATTCTTTTTGCTTGGTTGCATTAGCATGAATGTGAGTGAGTAACAAGCATCGAGCGTAAGTTAGTATGGAGATCTGTAGACATAGACAGACAGTTCTCGCTTTTTCTTTTCTCTTTCTTGCACTAGAAAGTCATTCTACTGAGATTTTCAGGTATTTGAAGTCTCAATGGTATTTTTACCACTCGATCTCTTCAGTGTGATACTTAGTAGGCATGTGTTGGCGTGACGCAGATTTTGATGGGAAGCGGCTAAGATTAAAATCGGCAATTTTTAAAGTCTATGATTGCTTGCAGATAGATATGGAGATGTTTATTCCTGAAATATTATATGGATTCAGTTTATCTTGTAATCAGGAAGTGGTTTCATTTGACAACCTTGTTTAACCTTTGACCGATTTTCAACTGATCAGAACAATTCGTCACCCGCTGACCTAGGCGAACGTTAACCTGGCTAAGAATGCTTAAATATGTGTTTTCCTTAGTAGAAGTCCGTTACTAATTCTTCTATCTCCCCCCTGTTACAGGCATATATACTGTTTGAAATTATTACGGTAGACTGCAGTATTTAAAATCAAAAAGAAGTAGGTCAGCAAAGAATATTATTTTCGTAACTCCACTTCAAAGTCCTACAATAGTTATATAGTGTTTTAAAAGGTCAGGTGGAGCCATGTTAAACATTTAGCACCAATGGAATGCGACCGCACAAGTGCCATTGAGACACTCATTGTGCAAGTTGGTGAAACCAGGCAAATAATATAATTATAATCATAAACAAAATATGCTTATGGAAGTGTTTTAATATTAAACGGCGTATGTAGTAAGTCTTCGGGGCAAAGTTGAGCTATCATGGCTAAAGTCGCAGTCTCTAAAATCCTAGGCTCAGTAATCATGCACAGACTAAGCAGAACTCGGGAGGAACAGACAAGGGAAAATCAAGCAGGCTTTAGACCAGGTAGGGGGTGCATAGATCATATCTTCACTCTTCGACAGATTCTAGAACATAGACACACTTTTCGGCGTCCAACAATTGTCATATTTCTTGACTTGAAGGCGGCCTTCGACTCCGTGGACCGAAAGGTACTATGGCAATGTCTGACTGTGAAGGGAGTGCCAAGAAAGTACATTGCACTAATCAAGGCACTCTATTCAAACTCACGTAGTCGTGTAAGGGCTTATGGGGAATTGTCATCTGAATTAGTAACAACCAGTGGTGTCCGACAGGGATGTCCACTTTCCCCATTTCTGTTTAACTTCATCATAGAAATGCTAATGGAAGTATCCTTAACTGAACGTAGTGACTTAGGAATCGACTTGTTACCAGGGAATAATCTAATGGACTTAGAATATGCAGATGACATAGTCCTGTTAGGGGAGGATGCTGAAAAAATGCAGAGTCTTCTGAACACCTTGAGCAGCAATCTTCGTATGTTTGGCATGCGATTCGCCCCTGCGAAATGTAAGATGCTGCTACAGGACTGGACCCCGTCAATCCCTAACTTAGTGATAGGGAGTGAAGTGATAGAACATGTTGACCACTTCACCTACTTGGGAAGTTGTATTAGCACCAACGGACTGATTGGCGATGAAATCTCAGCACGGATCCGAAAAGCTCGAGCTGCTTTCGCTGACTTACACCATCTCTGGCGTAGGCGTGACATCCGGTTATCAACCAAGGGACGAGTGTACTGCTCATCAGTTCGCTCCGTCCTTCTCTATGGCTCTGAAACATGGCCAGTACGCGTTGAAGACATGAAAAGGTTGACTGCTTTCGATCATAGATGTCTGCGATCTCTGTCTCACGTTAGGTGGTTTCACAAGATAAGTAATGTTGACGTTAGGCGTAGAGTGTTGGGCAAACAGGGAAAATCAATCGACGAGGCTATAAAGTTACATAGACTAAGATGGCTAGGTCACGTGCTGCGCATGCCTAACCACCGCCTCCCCCGACGGGCATTACTAGCTGATATAGGTTCAGGTTGGAAAAGAGCCAGTGGTGGCCAAACAAAAACATGGCATCAATCCATGAAATCCTTGACAGTTAAACTGAGTCAGGTAGGGAGATGCAGACTCCCGGGTTGGGGCCCTCGTGACTCTAGGAATCAATGGCTGGAGACAATAGGTGACATGGCTCAAAATCGTTGTCAATGGCGCAGATGTATTCAGTCTCTGTAATCTTTCATATTCCTTTCTACCATTACCCATTCTGTTTCACTCTTATACTTGTCAAACTCTATTAATTCTCTTCACTCATCTTCTTGTCTACCTCTGTGTGCTATTTGGAAGGTGGCAACTCGAACTGCTGCACTTCGGTGCCAAGTTCTATGTTGAATCCAGACAGACAGACAGAGAAAGTCGCAGTGACCTTGAACAACCAGCCACAATTCAGACCAAAGTCGTATAATCGTTGAAAAATGCTCTAGAACACACTATATTGTTGTCGCGTATGTGTTGTAAGAATGTCTCTCAGTTACTATGCAGATGATCTACACAGAAATCATACCATGCGCGATATATGCATTCATCTGGATGAATGCAGATCCTAGTAATTTGAGATCCACTGGTATTTTTAACACTGTTTTTTGACCTACTTTTAACTTTAACCATAATCCTAATTCTAACGGTAACCCTAGAACCTTAATCTTTAAAGCCAAAACCATACATAACAGTATAGATTCGCAGAGGAAGTACCTAGATAATAAGTAGAATACTGTATCCACCCTTTCCAAGTTCGAAGACGCAAGCATGATTTGATTCAGAATAACCTTTCCCTGTATCTGATTGGTTGGTGAAGGTCAACTTTTGAAAGACCCTGTCTTTGACCTTAACTTCTTCGTTCTCGGTGGGTTTAGAGGAGAATAAGTTAAGATTTAGGCCAAGGACATGTTAGGGTTATGGTAACCTAATATGGGAGATATTAGGGTTGTACATTATTATAGCTTATTCAAGCAGACAAACACAGTCTTCTGATTGGTTGTTTCTTACAGAAAGTTGACTTTGCATCTCTTTGTGACTGTTTAGTGAATGTCAGATCATCTATATGTTAACTTTATCTGCCTACGCCAAGTCTGCTGTGATTGGTTGTTGAATCAGTCTTGTTCATATTTTCTCACCACCAATATTTGTGACATACCTATTGACGTAAAATGCTGTCTACCATTTTTGGCTAGCCTGCTTTCACCACAGATATCCTGTGTAACAGTTTCATGCCTTTTAGTTCTTCATTACTTTCGTGAATGTATATATTTCACACGTAGAAATCTCCATTATCTTTTGATTGGCGCGTTCAGGGTCGTTTGTCAGTTGGTAATCACTCCAGCTAGTCTGACTGCCCTTTTTCTACTACTTTGACCTGTGTATTTGACCTGACAATCATTCCAGGAGGGTGTTAGATAAACTAAATTGTTTTGTTTTAAAGCCTGCATAGGATTGATCCTCTAACCGACAAAGTTTGTTTCTAATTGAGTTTGTTGTTGGTTTTGACTACCAGCCACTTTTATTCTTGTCTTGTTAAGAATTCTACTTAAGGTGGTTTCCGAGGTTCCTTCCTTGTATGGAATTACTACTGATGATTTAGATTCCTTATTGTTGATATGATTTTGAACAGCAATAAATTTTGTTCGAAACGTCATCCAGTAAATAATACTGTTTCACTGACTGTGTGATACATCTACTAAACAAACTAATATGGAATTACTTACTACCACCACAGTGCCCAAGTTTTACACATATATATTAAGAGAGTCTTAATGGTGAGTTTCATAATGAACTGGCCATCTTTTAGAGAAAACATTGTCAAAGACGGGTTGGTTGGCTTAACAAACCTAGTTTTGCCGATCTTGTTTTACAGACACAGTAAAAGATGCACCGCACATCTCTCTCTCTCTCTCTCTGTAATACACGCTCTTCTGGTTAACCCCGATAGTCAGGTATATTCACTAACTACCCTTACTATTTTTCCTACTCGATGACTGAAAACTAGATCAGCTAAAATTCGATTACTGCGAAATTCCACTTGAAACGATTGAATGTCACCACCAACCAACCAGGTATTGATTTTAGTTCACATGATTTTCACACAACTAAAGTGCATTTCTTTGTTGTGTTAAGGAGTATTGATTTGCTTTTAGACTGCAGAAAGGAGATTGAGAATGTACACACACAAGCAAACCTAGTCTTTCGTCTACAAAGTTTTCTATTTAAAAAGGAAAAGCTTAGCCTATAGTAGATCTCAGTAGATCACAGACGAAAATGTGTGTGAAATACACTTATTATGCTATGATTGGACACTAGTTACTAACTAATGTTTAATCGAAGAATCCATTGCAGTCCTACAGGAGGTCATTCACAAGTTCGAATAGTTCAGTGGTAACGTGTCTGACTGTAGAACTAGGTGACACTGTTTCGAATCTCAGAGGGGACATGAGTTCCAAAAAGGTTGC